ATATATATATATATAATGTAAAAACCTAAGACTGAAATCATATTTACAGTTTAAACAATAGATAATTTATTGATAAAATATTTCTTATAAATTTATACAAAAAACKTGTTAAAATAAATGTCTACTTTTTCTTTCTTACAGATAAGAAAATCAGAGATATGGTGTAATGGCTTAGGTAATATAGCTATCAATTAGCAATTCTGCGAAATTCATTTTATATTGATAACCTATATATAATGGGTATTTTTATAAACATATAGATATATACAATGAATAATATAAATTATTAAATATATAGGCATAATTATATATACATTTTTGATATTCTATATTTATATTGTTAGAAGTTATAATATTTATAGTACCTAGAGGTATATAATTCAAGTATAGGTTAGTGGTGCTGTTTACTATCTTGTCAATAATTTTTATTTAAAAAAAAAAAAAATTTTTAATACAATTTACTTATATCTAAATGCGATACTAATGGCTGAGTTTTCCGTTCAGGCGATGAATCACATGTGGTACTTATATAGAAGGTTCCTACTTCCTATACCTATATGCGTATATATATAATATATCGGAGGTCGATTCACACGGGTCACCGGGTTGCCTTCGGGTCGTCCAACTTTTCCACACCCAACCATTCGTGCGTACACGAGTTTACCTAACTAAAAGCAATTACAATATAGTTTTCTCTCTCTCTCTCTCTCTCTCTCTCTCTCTCTCTTAAAAAAAAGCAAAGTGTCCCGCGTTGTACAACAGTGAAAATCGTCGCATGACAGGAATAGTATAGATACAACATAATATACTTAACGAAGTACATTAATGTATACATTAAATAATTACAATCGATTTTATAGATCGATTTGATATTTTATAGCTTGTTAGTATAAACGATTTTAGTGAAACAAAAATTAACGAGACACAACCTAAACCGCAATATGCAATGAAAATATCAAACAAATATGGAAAATTTAATTCAAAAATATGAAGCATTGACAATTATATATTACATTCTAATTATAGTCTGTAATTTCACGTCATATTTTATAGTATCAAGCAACAGATATCGTCACCAACAAGAAATAGCGGGTTGATGACTGCCTTACTAAATAATTATATAATAATATTATAATTATGAATGTATCGTAGGTATACGAGTGAAATGATTCGATTCGAGTCTGTGACGTCAAGCGTAGCTGTAGTAATATGATTGCGACGACGTGTAAACACGTGCACGACATAATATAATAATATTATCTACTTACTTGTCGGCCAAAAATTATGAACATCCATCCGGCTAACATAAGCGGTGCGGACGWGGTGAGTGCGTACTTACGGCCGATCCGGTCCATCAGCCATCCCGCGGGCACGGCCATGACGAAGTTTCCGATGTCAATACACGCAACCATCCACGAAATTTCCGCCGTTGTCAGTAACAGAGGCGTCTGTCCGGCCGACATGTAATCCATAACCGGCGACGGCCACCCGAGCACAATTCCCGCCATGAACACGGGTAATGACGCTATGGGAATGCAAGACAATAAATTAACGGCACACTTTTTTTTGGCAGGTGCCAATATTGTAAAAAAGGTATAAAGATATAACCTGGTCAATTAGTAGGTATCTATATGTTTGGAAATCTGGGCAAATAATGATCAATGGGACCTAAAGTGTATGTTATCTTTTTCTAAAACTGTTGSTATCTKAGTTAGGCACCTATTGGACTTCTTTCTCTATCCCACTCACTCYCTCTCTTTTGTGCACGTGCACTAATAATGAGTATGACGGATTTATTATATTTTTCTTACATGTGGACCCTGAACCTCTCATTTCATTATCAGTCCATTTCTCTATAAAAAAATTATATAGACCCAATATCTTTCAAACACTTTATAATCGTGGGCGTATTATCTTTTTATAATTAGTACTTACATAAAGTTGAAAAACTCAAAAACTGCTGTTTCGAATGTGCAGTGGTCGTTTGGGAGAAGGTAATTTGGCCAAGAAATTAACATTCCGTTTGGATGACTATCGTTTATCCCGTTTATTTGAGTGAAATAATAATTACCTGCGTATGGTAAAAATCTAGTGGCTTATGTGAAAGTTTTTAAAAATAAAGTTGATTATTAATTTCTCTACATTATGTACAGACTGAGGGGWATATGATTTTGTATAAGTATAGGTATTAGACATTTTTTTTTTTATTAATCTTGACTGTATATTACAATACGTACCTATTAGGYACTTTAGCAATATCCTTTTAGGATTAAGAGTTAATTATTTATTATGTATTTTGTATAATTTTATGTGACTTTATTTTTTCAATACATAAATTGATTTACTTATAAATCTATTCATACTTGTTCTCCCAAATGGTATATTTTGTGGAATAAACATTCACCCCAACAGACCACATCTGGGTCAATTCATCAAAACGGCTCTATGAGTAGAATAAGATATACCAAGCATATTTTTCATTGTACTTCTAAATTTGTATATCATGATTATTGCAATGTATTTGAGAAAAATAAAAATGTTCTTAAAAATATATGTAGTAGGTACATCAAAAATGTGTAATGATTCCCGATACGTCAACGGTGTTTTTTTGTTGCATTATTGTAACGCCATGGATAATTTGTTAATATAAAACCATATTCAGTTATGACCRCCGGCGGTCATGTGGCGTTGTAGTAATGATCAACTGTGGCCTCTGGCGGTCACAAAAGTATAAAATTTGAAAATAACAAATGACCACCGGCGGCCACATGGCAGTCAAAGGTGATGTTAAGGGAAAAATAGKGATAAAAATGCTCTGCCATTCGTTCTGTGGTATAAATCACATAGTCGGCAACAAATTTACAAATGTATACAATTTAAGTACAGTAAAATATCGTTAAAACCAAATTTCACGATAAAAAAAATGTCAGAAACTTTCTGTTTTGTTTGACGATAACCTCTGTAAATTTGTTAAATTCCATTTATTTAGTTGTAAATAGTATCTAATGTACATAACGTTTATTGTGTAAATAATTATTTATTTAACAAATCATGTGATTAAATTGTCTGTAAAACAAATAATACAATCATGAATAATAAGTGACAGAATAAAATAATTACTGCAGTAATAAAAATAAAAATAATAATTTCCAAACATCCATTAAAAGTTACAGTTTTGTACGATCTAAATTTTTAATATTCAATAAGTTATTTTTTTTATTCGATGACAACCATTTGTGAGAATTCTGTTTTAATAATTAAGACGACATATTACTAATGTTATTGATATARCAACACTATAATGGTCTATTAATACTATCTACTAGTGCACGTTTACATTGGAAATAAATCAGGGTACAAATACAAATTACTTAGTAGGTACTAGGTACTTACCAACTAAGTACATATTTTACATATATTATTGTATTTATTTGATGATAATTTTTAGAMTAAAATGTGATGGCAACTAATTKATGTTTGATATATAACCAATTATGATAGAGTAATTAAACAATAACTGTAAAGACTAGTTTTTAAAAGTTAAATAATTCATCATTCCATTATTACGTATGCATAGGCACATTCCGGTATAACGAAATTTTACTGTATAACCATTTCCTCGGCYGGCAAGCAACTTCAGTGCATGGTTAAGTCTAAGTGGGTGTAAATTGGTTCAATAGTATTGTATTTAATTTTGGAAAATTGTTCAGGATTTGTCGAACTACCATGCACATGTTAAACTCCATCATTGGTCTATCATAAAATGTTCTTGATGTCTACGTTTTTTTTTTCTGTCAAGCAGGCTAATGTTGAATTTCTTCGCCTGCATGCTGCAAGTGTCCGTATTCATTTCGTGTATCGTTCTTATCGTTTAGCTACTCTTTTTATATTTCAAAGTTTTCCTCCCGTCTATGCGTGTAACTGTAAACTACTTAGATTTATGAGTTATATGTTCCTTTGGAGCCCACCTTCTTTCCTTCTTTTTACTAATTAATATCTATTGTTAAAATTTTTAAAATAATTGTTTTTTATATTTTTGCTAGTCCTTGCATSATACTCCAGTGTAAATAAATCCAAAATTATTCAAAGTGCAATTAATAATACAGTTATGTCTATTGTTTCCACCCTAAACTTTTGTTTGCAAGCTTTCAGAGATAAGAGAATTATCTACGCCATTAACTAAAAACTATCCAAGACATAATAATTAAATAACGCGATACTCGTACCTATAAGCACAGCGATATTAATACTATATAATATTATGTCACCGGCCATAAATAATGATGCACTTCAGTGGTGCAATCATGAGGGCAAATTTGATGATAATTTAGATGAGTGTAATAGTTTTTACAAAAATATATTCATCCAATTGTTTTTCCTTGGTATAAKAAACACTCGTCTAAACGGTCTAYGCCTGGTGGTTGGTCGGGATTCCACACGACCTATTAATCATAAAAGATAATTTGTTAAGAATATTAATAAAATATAATATGGATAAGATATTAACTACTAACTAACGATTTTGTATAGATAATGATCATTATGATAACAAAATGTTTACACAACTACGTTAAATAACATTTGATAAGTTTTCACATTGGATTAAATACTGAAACCTTTAAAAAAAACCGATTGCRCTATAGAAACAGTCAATTTCGTTCAATTTAGCATACCTAAAATTTCACGTAATATGTGGTATTATTTGTTCAACTGCAAGATTATTTTATGAATTCAGCAGTTCATGTAAATTTAAATTTAAATTTTATATTAGTGAAATCGTAAAAGTGCCTTCACTGGAAGGTATCTTTAATCCGTCCTTCACGCCATAGTCATCTATTTCATCAATTTCACTTATTGTTCAAAATTTATGTAACAGATTGTGAAAATATAAATAAAGTAATAAAAAAAAATATTAGTGACATTAAATAAGTTCCATAAGAAATTAACAACAACTAACTTAATTAGGTGTATTAATATTTATAAAAAAATAAAATAAAATAATTTTAAAGTATAAGGCTGTATTGAAATAGAATGCGACTCTATGCAGATAAAGTTTAAAAAATGAATTTTATTTTGTTGAGATAAGATGATTTGATTTTTACGCATTGGTCAAATGTCACATTGCAAAAACTATAATGTTACTACATTTTATGGTGAAAACAACGAAAATATATTTATACAAATTAAATAACAAATGTATACATATCTAATTAAACTRCAGATCTAACCAACTCTGATTTAATTAAACAAAACAGCAGTTCAATTCAAACTTGAATCTATAGACTCTCGTTGTCAAAATTACAGAATTAATATAATATTAGTATAAAGTTCCAGCAGTAAAAAGTACTGATAATTCAAAATCAGCTAGATAATATAAATAGTTTGAATAAACTTAACTTTTGCTAATAACTCGTCAATACCACTACCTTTATAGTGAATTTAAGGGTAAGGTTATGAATTTTTTATTTATGATTAATTTTACTAATAATTACGCTGTTGGGAATCCCGACTAGGAATTTCTATAGCCCCCATCCCCCACGGCCCCACACATATTATTTTCTCATTTTTATATTTGAACACCGTGTCCAGTTAAAGTCTAGACATATGACAAGACTTGACAATAATATTTTGTTATTCTAGTGACGGTTATAATCTTAAATATGATATATCAAAAAATAATAAATACTRTAAGTACCGTTTCACATGGGCAAGTATTATACGCGACGTATCGTATATGAACGTTTTTAGTTTACATTGATTGATTAAGTTCATATCGGCAAGCGAAACGCACCATCGTCGCTAATTAGTAATTTGACGGAGCGGCGCGTATTAATTTAAATATAATATGTAACTAAAACGCGTACGATATACACAGCAAATTATAATATATTATGTCATACGTGTCCATTTGAAACAGCTCACACGCAACTGCACTGCCTCAAACTAAAATGCCGTATTAGTGTATTTTTTTTTTTCAAGATTCGGAGGAGAAGAATAAATAACATTATGGAAAGCGCCTGTCATGATAAGTATTTGCAATTTTATAAACAATTACAATTTACAATTGTTACGTTTAAATAATTGCGAATGTGTTTTTTCTACGCTACAATAGTATTACGCACTTGATTTTAATGTTGTAAGGTGTAGTGTGATAACACGAGCAGCGTACATTATTATTGTTTATTATTTTACCGTTCTAATTATTATGCATAAATGCATAATGTTATGTTCGTAGAACATATACCATAATAAATTAATATAATATAGGAACATGATTCGTGTAAATAATATAATATTATAAAAATACAATTATAATTACTACAATTTATGCCTATAATGAGTATAATGTATGCATAGGTGAAATATAATATTATTCATAGTCTGTTAACACACGAATGATTATTACTATAGACAATTGTGATGGGCAACAATATCGATAATTTGATACAATATCGGTATTGGTACCTTTCCAAAATTATCACTAGTAACTAGTTTTTTACCTCGTTTTTTACTTATCTTCAATTACCTAGCTAGGTAAAGTAAATTTTTTGAATTAATAGCTATTAATTCAAAATTTCTATTTATTTATCTATACTAATATAATTMTAATATGTAATGACTTAAATGACTGATAAGTACCAACTACTATGTAGGTAATATTTAAAATGTGTATTTTCGATATTTTCGAGACAATATAAAAATACCGATATAAAAAATTATATCGTTGCCTTATATCACTAAAAAAAAGAAAAGTATCATAAATTATGATGCCATATTATAAATATTAAATGATAAGGTAAAAACGAATTCTGGAGTGAAGGCAAATCGGGTTTTCGGAGAGCATCATAGTGCACACAAAGATTATGTACATGACACCACTGAGTACATCAGGACCCAGTGGCGTAATTTAAACCGTATAAATTTGCGTATTAATAATCTAATATGAAAATTTCACCGTTTCTTTAATTGGTTAGGTACTTGAAAATGGATAAATTTCAGACAGGGTTTGTTGGTCCGTATAAAAAAAAAAACAATATTTAAGCTAAACTACTACGTCACTGGATACATGGACACAGTTATACTATGATAATATATTTTAAGAGTATAATATCAAAACATTATAATATTTTAGTTGAATCGACCAACCGACAATGCACGCAGCGATCTGTCTGGAGGAACCGGAGAATTGGCATTTGCCCATCGTATTATCCTGTGTTCGGTCAGTGCGTATTCTGGAGTGAGTGACTATATATTTTTTATATATTACGGATTCTTGTTTTGTTGTATTCCAAATTCCAATACTTCGACAGTTCGACAGCCGTCACGCACCGATTGCCAATGATAGGACTTCTGCTGATGGCTGGTATAGTAATATAATATTATAATGAACGGCGACGGATCATGTCGGGCGCGCGAAGACTACCAAGACTGCGGTGGATATTAGCGCGACTTATTGCGCCGACCATCGAGACGAAATTGACTGTACATTATACAAGCAACCAGTAACCACTAACAATCACTAACCTATGCGTCAAGAAATTGATGCGCGAGGCAGCGTGTGGACGCTGGCCGACGGCCACATGTTTGATATCATTATTATTATCATTGTAGTTCGACACTCATGGTCTGCCTCCGCCGGTGATCTTTGACATGCAGTGGTACCATATATACGATATTATCAAAATATGTACTTTGAAAATCATATTAATATTATGTCGGACGGTATAAAAAATACGCGCTTTCGGCCGATGGTGATTATTATGATTGTTRTTTTTATCGATAAAAAAATTATCATCGCTTATAATTGATATTGTTAATGAATAATGACGATGATGATGGTATAACGCGCTAGGCGTTACACAACCGACGGCCGAAAACGTTTTTCGTCAAGGAKCGTTTTAAACGTTTTAATTGTAAATTGTAATAMGCCGCGGGACCAGATCAAGAACGGCTGACGAAAAATTGAAAGATATTAAACATGGCGAACGACGGTGGTTTTTTTAYTTCATTATAAATATCGCAGTAATTATCATCTGCTCGCAGTCGACGTTATGGTATTATAGTGCTATATATTTTTGCATTAACCACGACGCACCTATTACTTTAAAAAAAATTATATACTTATATATATAGACAGGTAGATAGATAATATAGGTACAACTAAAATTAAGTAAATTAAAAGTTAGTTTATCGTTTATTTGCTCACGAAAATGTTTTAATTTATTATGAAGCTTGGTATTATTATTCAATGATGTTTATCAAACTGTCATGGTTATTTTAAGAAATAAGTATTAATTTATAATCACGAATAAACCTTATTTTCAAAACTTTTGTTCCGAATTTTACGAAAGTTTGTAATCCACGCATGCYAAAGTAATCTAATATTTAATTTAAACTATAAAGACTATCGTATTGCAAAACGCCATAACATCATTATAGCATGGAACGATATGGCTCTGGGTTGTTTATGAATGATAATATGGGCATATAGATAGTAAGTATAATATAGGCACTTAATTAACTTTTCGCTGTCCGTCGTATTAACTTTCCGGTACCTACTTTCAATTTCAATAGTATATATAAACATATGATAATTCATAAATAATGTCAATAATGATCAACATTATGTGAAATAAAACATGACATCGTTCAGTTATCATTTCTATATATAATTTTATTTACTATTATCTCGTGTCATCATAGAATGTATATACAGACGTAAAATACAAGAATTACCTAGCTACTACAACGTGTTATACATAAAAAATGTACATATAATATAATAAAATAATAATAATATGTTATGGTACAACGATGTTTGGTATAGTATGTTATTTCAACATTCGGTATATRAAAATATACATAAATTAACATTGTTCGGGCGGTTTTGACGTATGGAAATTGTTTTCGATCGGTTTTCGTGCGGCGATGGGCGGAACACAGTCTCCTTCACCGAACATGTCACTAAAATTATTTATGATTGATTAGGGTCTCCAGTGCACGTTGTTTTCGGCGCAAAACGAAGCTTAACGCAATTTCCGCAACTTTATCCCTCTTCGGGACCCAAATATATGCCGTTTATATATCATTATTATTATGCGTGTATAYGGTGTGATGTGTGAGCGAGCGCGTGTGTCTGCGATCACGTGTATATAATAGAGGATAACTGTCAATCAAACGTGAACGAAAAGTATGGAAGTGGCGGTACGCGCCCTTCTGCCATTTTTCGGTCTCATTGTAATGCGACGTGTCTTATTGATCACCACGGTTTTGGTGGATATGGTAGAAGGTACAAGATTCGAGTTCAAAACGTCAAATGTAGGAAAACCTGCTACCGAACGTCAGCGCCGTGAAATCTCACCAACCCTCTCCGTCGTCCCGCCAGGGTCGTCGTACCTTTGTATACGAACGTCTGCAGGGGTTGTTTCATGTGCGTATTATTATTATTATTTACATACAAGTATTACATAATAATAATAATGCGCGGAATGGCTTTTTTTCCATCGYCGAGTGCAACGATATATAATAATATAAATATATATATATACATGCGTCGTACCTAAGTGTATAAACAATAAATAATACTAATATATAAACGTATAAATAATTTAATACTATACAAAAATAAAATGTTAAAAGAATTGAAAGAATAAAAAAACACGAAACGAAAACATCACATTATAATACTATATCGATTCGTTTATATATTATTATCATTTTATCGGCACTATCATTGTTTGTACAGCGAGATGACGCGTGGCCACAGGTACGTTGCAGATTTAGACGCCCGTTGTGTTGGCGTTGACGGGCTTTCGACGATTTTTGCTGCGTGTCGGCCGGTCGTCGATGGTTTTCATGATGTCGTTCTGGATCTGCGCGAACGTCTTGCCCTTTGTCTCGGGCAGGAACTGATAGATCAACAGGAACGACCCCAGGCACCCGGTGCCGTATATGAAGTAGTTGACGTGTATGCCCCACTGGTCGGTGATGACCTGGTACATCTTGAGGCCGACGAACGATATGACAGTGAGCGTGACGGACGTGATAGCGCTGGCCAGGCCACGGACGTTGGACGGGAACATCTCGCCCTGGAGCGTGGGCAACAGCGGCCCGAGCCCTATGCTGTAGATGACGGCGAACGATCCGATGGCCGTGAACGGTATCCAGGCACCCAGCGCCTCGAACCCGACCCACCGCTTGTAGTAGTACAGCCCCGTGACCAGCTCAAACGCACCGCAACCGAAACACGAGAACAACAGCAGAGGCCGGCGGCCCAGCTTGTCCACCAAGTAACCGGTGACGAACGTGGTACAGAATATCAACACGCCCAGCAACATGGTGAATTGGTCCGGTGACAGCGTCTTGTCCGTATCGGCGTGAGCGAATGTGGAAGATGCATACGCCAGCACGGTGGTCATGCCGGACAGCACGTCGGCCGCGGCCACGATCTGGACGATCAGGAACGCCTTCCGGCTGCACTGGGACCCGAAAAGGTCACGCATCGACCCCTTGTCTCGGAGATCGTCCCTGGCCTCAGCCTTGATGCGCATCAGCTCACGGACCACCACGTCCGGTTCCGCGTCACCGTGCAGCCACGCCACGGATTCGTGCGCTTTCTTGTCGTCGTCCCGGAGCACGTAGTAGTACGGCGATTCTGGTATCCACAGGCACGTKCCCAGGAATGCGCAMGGCACCAGCAACGAATAGTACGTGAGAGCATCGTACGACACTAGCGGCCCGACGCAGTACACGTACAGTATGCCGGCGTTAAGCATGCCGTTGAAGAACGTGCTGAGCGCGCCGCGGATACCATCGCCGGCAATCTCACCAATGTAGATTGGCGCCACCGTGGTGATGATGCCGATGCACGCGCCTTGTAGCAGCCGCACCCAGTACAGCACGCCGATCGTGTCGCTGAACAACACCATCAGCCAGCTGAYGATGTACAGGGGCCCCGTGAGCAACAAACACGGTTTTCGGCCCACCATGTCCACGAGCACCCCGAACGGTATAGGCGACAGCAGGTTGCCCAGCTCCAGCATGGCGATCATCCACGACTGTTGTTCGTTGGTGGCGGCCATCGTCAGCCCACCGTTGGCCAGCTTGGCCAGCACCGGCGACGGCCAGCCCAACGACGTGCCAGCCATCATTACCGATAGCGACGCTGAAAAATAAACCAACATATCGATAAAAAAATAATTTGTCAAATATATATATAAATCATTTAAATAGATACGCATGATGATCAGCTAGGTAGAGCTAACGAAATTATTTCACCAAATAGTAACCGTGCGGTATGTGCATTTTATTGATTAGGAACATAAAAATAGAGAAACGACAATCTGAGGTTTAAAAACGTGCGAATTTATGCGTTATTTTTATAAATTAATCCGCGGCATCCAGTGGTTATTTTTAATATGGGTTTTTTTAACTGTTAGAGAGAGAGTATTGAGTACGGTTGGTATATGTGTGACAGGGATTTGTTGCTAAAAACACGCGAGGTCACCCATCCGGGAGCTAGCAACACCAGCCGATACGTACCATTCATAGGTGTTTCCGCAGTTGAGCGTATGTTCATGCCACACCAAGACACAATATAATATTTAGCTTAGCAATTTATGAAGCGATATATATGTATTGCTTTTAATATAATTGGTAATGTTTAAATATTGTCGAATATTGATGAACATTGATTATATTCTGACAAAAACGTGGGGCGCATATATGTTCAAGAATTTTTTTTTTTTCAAGTCTAAATATTTCAAAACGATATAAATTAAATCTATAATAGTAGAGATTGGATAGGTACATCGGCAGGCAGTAGGTACAGATAATATTATTATTATATAATATCACGACCGAACGACTTTCGCACAACGTTGTCGACCCGATTCAATAGTACACATCAACATCAAAGAACTACCGCGAGATTGGAGTTTTATATTATATCATATATCATATTATACGACCGCACTTCAACTTTATTCTCTTAGGCCGCGGTCCGAAAAAGCAGCTCGAAAATAATATAATAGCCAACTTTTCATAAAGCTTTGGAGGATTTCGGATGAGTTTTACAAAGTAAAAGCGCCATTTCTACCTGTTTGAGTTTCACATAGATCTTATCATCTTTTGAAGTCTGATCCGCTCCTGCTCTGATGTATCAACAACAACAAAAAAAAAAAGAAAGAAAAAACCGCGTGCGTTTCAATAAAAGATAATTCTCAAACATTTACGTGTGGACGGAAGGGCGGATAACTCTATGTATTATAGCCGACATAAATCGAATGTGAGGTGTATGCGTATTCAACTGAACTATTTATATTTATGTCGACGTAAACTAATATTTTGTATATGAATAGTATTTAAATGTTTAAAATTTAAGCTTTACATTCTTATGCATGCATGATGGACTAGTGCATTGATGCATTGTCAAACGTTTATCAGATTTTGCGGAAAATATTTTAGATACAGCTAAGTATATTATTACATAATATCCAGAGTGTAAATTTAGTGATCCACCAAACATTTTTACCCACTTTATTGTTATATATGATGTTATAATTGATAATCCATTTATTTAAATTATTATTTCAATATTGTAAACTATTAGTTAGTTACTAGTTATGCATTCTTTTAGAGTTCTAATAATTTTTTATTTCGAAATTTTGATGCATCTAAATCAACATTTGAGCGTGTTGTTTCTGAGTATATATACTGAATAATGAAGATAATTGTCATTACTCTTTAAGAATTAATAATGGGTTTACGTAGAATATACAACATATGTAATTATAAAATAAATCTAATAAATAATAATTATTTAAGTAGGATAATTCTTATAAATTATAGATTTTTAATAAATTAATATTTATTAGGCACTATAATAAAAACTACAACCATAAATCTTCTAAGCCTACTATCATGGAATCTTATCTATATAAAATGTAAACTTAATTTTTTAAACTCAGAAAAAAATATTGAAATTCCGATTTAGTTCTTCCGACCTAACCTCTATTAAATTACGATAAAAACAATAGTTCTCTTTTAAAAAAGCAGTTTGGTTGACAAAGTATTCATCGCCATAGAATATTTCTTTAAATTTTAAACAAAAATCTAAATAAACTCTAATTATGATTTTTTAAATTTTTTATTTTATTTATTTATTGATACGGCTTCAACATTAAAGTCATTAGCCGGGAACAAAACATGTTTACAAGTTATTTGCAGTCATCTTAATATTTAAATAAAGGAAATACAAGAATATTACAAGTATATGGTGATAATGATATAAGTAACAATAATATATAATTATTTAGATTCTATTATATAGATTGGTTATTTTAAGGAATGTTATTAAATAGTTAAAATTGTCTATAATTAAAATATCTCTGAATGTTAGGTGTGGAAAATTTTTTTTTGTTCTGTTAGATTAGGGCACTCTAGGAGTAGGTGTGCTGTGGAAATCGGGGCGTTGTTGCAGAGTTCGCAGTTTGGTCTCGGCTCTCTGCTCATTCAGTGTGCGTGAGTGATGTTAGTGTGTCCAATTTTCATCCGTGTCCATATCACTTGTTGTCTTMTCGTACTTGAGGGGGGATTCGGGTTAGGTGACAGAAAAGGTTTTATTTGGTATAGTTTGTTGTTCAGTTCCTGGTCCCAGAGTCGTTGGTGGATCTTTTTGCTACTTTTTAAGGCGATTCGGGAAGTGTCCTTGAGATACGAAAGGTCTATTTTGGGAATATTGATGTTGGTGGTGGCTTCTTTAGCTGCTATATCAGCTTTTTCATTTCCTGTTACGTTCTTGTGGACAGAAATCCACATGAAGGTCACCGAACGGGGGGCAAGGGAAGAGGCTCTTTCTTGTATGTTTTTTATTATTTCATTTGATGTCCCTTGGTTTTGTATGGCTAGGATAGAGATAAGGGAATCGCTGGCTATTAAGAAGGACTTAGTATTTTTCCAATTTTTTTCAGTTAGTTCTATGGCTTTCAGGATCGCTAGTGCCTTGATGGTGAAAATAGAATTAATCTCAAGTGAATAGAACTTAAAGGTTTCTTCATCTGTAATTATAGCTAGTCCTGTTTTGATATCGGATTTTGATCCATCGGTGTATATAATTTTATGATYACAGAAATTCTTAAGTATAATGTCATTAAAGAGTTTAGGGATTTCGGACGGCTCTATGTTTTGGATAAAAAAATTGTTTAAGTTGATTTAGTGTTAGTTTAACTAATAAATAGTGTATCAACTTGCATACATTTATAATAACTGAATAACTGATGTTTGATTTACTGTACCATCACCATGTATATATATATATATATAAACTATAAAGTATATATATAATAGGTATACTAATCTAAAAATATTTCGTTAAACTATTTATTTATTTTTGTACTATTATTTCAGTTTCAGATTACGTAGAAGACTTAAAATCCAAAACTTCACACGTCAAGTGTTCAACATAAAGMAGTAATTGAATCATTTATTGGTAAGAATTTTTAAAATAAAAGTAAAACTCAATTGTAGAATAATGTATGTAAAAATTTTTTTTTTAATTATATAATTCTATTTTTTTCTATTTAATCTTATAATAATGATCAAAATAATTTGAGAAAGAAGAAATTCATAATGAAGCTAAAAAAAATATGACTGAGGAGTCTACTACTTTGTATAATTATTTGTTAGGATTAGACTAGATAACAAAAGTTATATATTTATTAATGTAAGTATAACGGTAGGTACGCAAGTTTATGATAAAAGTTGGTAACCCTAAATATTTCAAGAATATGAACTTAATTAAAATGTTGATAGAAAAAATTACTCATTAAAATTTTCCATTGAGAAAACCATTTGAAGAACCTAATTAAAAGGTATGATAGGTATCCACCATACATTATTTATATTTTCATTCATACCTAGTATACAAAAATATCTATACTGAATTGTTAGAAATAAATAATTTTTTTTTTTAATTTTGAATACATTTTATGATTGATAGCGTTTATATATATTTATTCGTTAATTATTAAAACATATACTGTATAACAAATGTTTTCATTTTCTATACTGAGTAGAAATAAATTTACTAGTATGTAACTATAATTACATTTTAATAATAAATAAAACAGTTAATAATGAATTTAAATTAACTATTCATGTTGTTAACATATTATAATTAAATCAAATAATTCGTATTCACAGTATAATATATTAATATGTATCTAACTAATTGAAAGAAGAATAAATTCAGCCGTTTTCTATGACAGTAACTGCATGTCTACCTGAACTTATACTGTTATACTATATAAATATATTATTATTATACTTTCACGATAATGGGTGTGTTAAAATGTTTATCGTTTACAAATAATGAGTTCAAATTTGTATCACAAGGGAATACAAATTTAATAAATATTATAAAATTGAAAAATTGAAAAATTGAAAAATTGAAAAATGCATTAACAAGATCTGAATTCTATATAAAGTGAAGAATAACATCCCGATTTTCATTTAACAGAACAGTAGTTATTATAATAACAATTGGAAGGTATTATTGTATTAATTAAAATCTATGCAAAAGTAAAGTAAAAAAATAAGGGAAATAATACATAAAATAAAATAATATAATATGAATATTATGCATGCGATATTTGTTTAGGTACCTATTGTTACGTAGTATACTATACTATAGTATATTATACCTAGCATAAATAAAATTAATTTAGATTGATAACATAATATGGATTTGTTGCAAGGTACAACCGTATAAAATATAAATCTCTTTAGGGGTTTTTAATAAGATACTTCTGTAAACATATTTCATTTAAATTTAAAGCCATATAATATGATGATTACAGTTGACGTCTAAATTGTATTCAAGGATAATGCCAAAATGAATGCTACTAAATTATTATTTTATAAAAATAATTAAATCCAATCAAAATGTAAAAAGTAAAGAAATAAATAAAATTACATAATATGTAGATACTATACAATTTGATATTTTTTCAACAAAATAAGAGTTTTTAATTTTCAAATTTTTTAATGTTTATTAACTATTTTTTGTATTGTATTATACATTCTGTAGACTTAAGTAGAAGAATTGTCCATTTATGATACTTTTTTAAATCTCACTATGATTAAATTGTATACAATTTAGCTAATATGAATTTATTTTGTGTGACTGAAGAATTATATAATTATGTATGTTTTACATGAAATAAAAGTAATAAAATACGAAATTTCTTTTACATAAGTAAGTAGATTTTAGTTAAATTCGAAAATTTTAAACAAGTTTTTCTAGTGCAATAATTATGAAAAATTAAATTTCAAAACTATATTTTGTTGCTATTTATAGATTTTGTATTTTTTTCATTATAATTATCAACCACGCGGTCATATTCGTTATCATACATCTGTAAACTTAACAATGGACTAAATTAATTTCTTGTGATAAACACGCGTTTTAGGCGTTTCCTCTGTGATATCGAAAGACTAAAAAGTTAGACGGATTATATACGTGGAATCTATAATATGAATATAAATCTGATGGAATGGATGTAAAATTCAAACCTTTTTACGTTTATGATATAGGTACATCACTGATGTACAGCGTTCATATACACGAGAAATTTAATGTACTTTTAATTACAAGGTTGAAATGGCGCACAAACGTTAAGTAAAAGTTTTCCTGTTGAACAGCGCATGTAGGTAGTGCTGTTGTGGTTGAACATTGCTCTTATTTCTATACAATTAATTAACTAGGTACTTTTGTACACAATAATATAAAAATGAATAAAAGAAGTTAAGAATTTTGAATACAACATTAAAAATTATCTGTGTACGATTATGGATTTTTTAAATGTTGATCTATGAGGCCATAATATTAAAAATAACAACAATTGGTCAAGAGCCAAAATTTGTAGATTACTGTAAGCATTCAATGAAAACTTAATTACGAAATAATAATATGACATGTAGGTTTGTTATAATGATGACAGTTTTTATTAATATTATTCGAGTTACTGTGTTAATGTCTTTCAGCATGTTCAAAATATATATACATATATAACCGCAATGAATAGGTAGTACAGTAAACATAAATTATTATGCATCTAGATGATTTTTAAAGTGTCATATCATAATATGAATATTTTAAATTATAAATATCAAAGGAAGTATAAAAAAGATTTATGTTTTTGTAATAATCAAAACATTGAAATTAATTATGCAACTAAAACAATAGTTTAATATTTATGACTATAAATGGCACTTGTATAAAAAGTAATAAATATAAAAGTTAATAAAAATATAAAMGATATATTATAGGGCTTCCTATATATATTATAACGTTTTCACACATAAAATTATATCAGTGGCGTATTATGATAACTTTTCTGGTGGTGGTGGGGAGAATTTTCATAAAAACAATCGATTAATCAAAACTATCAATAGCAATTATATAAAATATGTAGGTAGATTACTTAATAAATAACAATATGAAACTGCTTTCCGTTGTGAAAAAAATTATTAATTCATAACTCGGTAAAATTGGACATTACACATTCCTCTAATTACTTATGCATTAGAACTAATTATATTAATTTAATCATATTACAAATAAATGTGTGAATAATGTGACGTATTATTTATTATTTAGGTTGTAAACGAATTTAAACATTTTTAAATAAACGCTTTAATTGTTTACATACAATAGTTAATATTTTAACCTTATCGCATTAACTATTACTTTTTTATAAATTTAAACGACTATGATATAATATTCGATGATTAAATGTGGGCAAAAGGTCAGCGTGTACAAAAACTTGTTAACAATCTCGTTTCGTGTTTTTACATAAAGAACAATTGCTTCGTGTATAGAGGACAGAAAACATGACGCTTTTTTTGCTTCAGAAGTCTTACAGTAGAAGATTTACGAGTCAACGGAGGGTTTGTCGAATTTACCTGTGAGACTAAAACCAAGCAATATTAACTTTTCTGGAACTTTTTGATTATTTCGTCCATTTCTCACATCCGGTGTTAAAAAACCGCTGTGCCTTGGGTACGAAAATCCACTCGCCAACAAATATTTATTTACATATTATGTATATAGTATTCTGATATACCTATACACGAACGTATATACACTAATCCATATATATATATGTATACACAATTTTTCATTTTTGCAAAGCCAACCTCCGTTTTTACCGAATTTGTATGCGCAGTCAAAACCTGAATAAAGCTATTAGAAAAGAAAAAAGGGGCTAGGGTGGTAAGAAAAACAGCATATATATTATATATATATATACTTCTTATCATTAAGTGTATTACACACACATACACACACCCACACATTTACATTCATTTGATGTGCGAAGGCGAAAAAAATAATAGTCATACAACCATAAAATATATAGACCGGAATACTGCTATGCGAATAGTGGAACTGACATGTGAATAAACGTGATAAGAGCTTCGGACGATGACACGCGACGGATATGCTGCAAAGAGTGTGCAAATGATCATTTGACAGTGCATTGTGTTTAAATAAGCGTTTTTCCGCTATACATATAAATATATTATACGGTGGGCGCCATGTGTTTTGAACAGTTTAGAAAACGAAGGGATGCTTTTGTAACCGCACCAGCCATTAACTTGTAACGGGTTAATGGAATTTCCCTATACATGGCTACATATACGCGCCAGGATATATATATATATATTATATGACCGGGCCAGCCGATGTTTTTCACGACCCTGGACGTAAAAGGGGTTTGCGAGCGTGTGTTGTCGAGAGTGAGAGAGCGAGAGAGCGAGGTAATAATATATATATGTATATGTGTGTGAGCGCCCGCAGAGCGGGAGAGAGATTAGAAAAAAAAATTTGATTTACGACGGGCGTTATAGCTTTTGATATTATTCACTTCTGCATGGGTCGGATATAATATTATTATATGGAATTTGGCGAATCTGTGCGATTGTAGACGAGGTGTATGGTGTACGGTCGACACTCACGTTCATTTTGCACCGAGAACAAACCGCGTTTGCCTGCTAGCTATTACGTGGTGTTTACTATTTTGACAAAAGGTACATATAATAATAGTCTCCCTCAGCGTTGGCTGTAAATTACGTGCATAATATTATTTTATACACGAGTACCTATCACGTGCCGATCGGGCCCTGACTCGAGTAATATATTTGTAATATTTTAAATGTCCTACTCACATAATCGCATAACATTATTAAAATAAAAATATTCCAAACGTTACATCATTATTCATTATTATTATATTATTATAAAATTGAGACATCTTATTATCGACCAGTCCTGCGGTGTTTTAGAAACAGACCAATGCTATTCGCGGAAACCCGTGTACTGTACGTTGAAATACTGTCTATAAATAAACGATCTACCAAGAAAAACAATGTCGAAATTTAGCGAGCCTTTTTTTTTTCGCAAGCGTATTTTCCAATGGGAAACATTTT